TTAATCTCCTTTAATTAACTACATTTAAAACATTTTTTAAGCATTACTGTTTTCTGTAATGACAGCCTTCCACTGAAGTATCTGGTGTTTCTTCTTGTACTTAGAAAAACTCACATCGCATCAGGAACAGAAAATCTTATAATGACTAGGCAGTCCTGCCAGTCTAGAAATCTAGTATACTAGACTGTGGGATTTTCTATCTAATGAGATTTGTAAATACAAGTGGTACGGCAAAAGTTTAAATGAACTTTTTCCCCTCTAACTATTTGAGACTGAGAGTTATTACCTCAAATTCTAACTCTTACRAATAATTMAAGTTATCATTCTCTTTTTAACTGTAAGTAGTAATGTTATCATTTTGTCAGACCAATTAAAACTTTTCATTTGGCTACATTTTCTCAGCTAATTCTGTTGTGTAGAGTAGAAGGCATAATAGTGGAGAAAGTTTGTCTTGAAATCTCAGTATGTCCCACTTATCACTTCACTATATAGCAAAACTGGAGAAACTATGTGTATTGTATCACCTTCAGTAAGGCTTTGGACTGCTTATTAAACTATCATTTTTCTAGAGACTGAAGTATGGTATAGCAGCCTATCTTTTCTGCTGACCTCACCCAATACGAAGTTCCCTGTCTAATTTATTTCACTTGGAATCTCCTTTTTTAGATATGACTAAGCTAACCATAATTCAGGGAGGGTTAAATTTAGGGAGGTTTACATTCTAGTTATCTTCTTAGGAGCATGCCACTGTTTTCTTGCTGTCATAAACCAATCAGAAATTTAGGTTCAGAACAGCCCTCTCTACTCCAGCCCCCTGTAAGATTTAGTAGCTCTAGGGATGATTTGAAATGGTCTATGTAAGTCTGGAGCTAAAATACTAGGTTTACTCTGCTTTCTCTGTGGTAAAGATAGAAGCATAAGGGTCTGTAGCTTTTCAGTTTATCACAAGACTAGGCTGAAAACTCTACAAAGATGGGCTTCACAATATAACCTAAATTCACTTCACTAAATTCTCCCTTTCCATATTTTCAGCAAGTAAATCTAGTGTGATAAGGCATTTTGATAATATATTAAACTAGCGGTTACAATGTTAGTTGTAAATATRAATTATTTGGAAAGACTTAAACCTATCCAAGTCCACACTACACTAAAGTGGGGCAAATATTCCTTAAAAATTTCTTTAAATCACCCCTACCCAGGCGATTATAATATGTATCCATAGTTGCCAAATGCTGGTATAAGAGAGGCAATTAGGAGTAAACTTTCTTTCCCTTTCTGTGCCTCAGTTACTAAAAGTTGATGTTCCAAGTGACTGATTTTATTCATTGCATTCAAAATTTATATTATTTCTGAATATACTACAGTTTACACTGTTGAGTGATTGCAGTTATAAATGGGTATGAAGAGAAATAGTCATAATTTTGAAATAGCTCTCAAAACTCGTCTTAGATAACATTTTAAAGTTAGAACAAAACAAAACAAAACAACAACAACAAAAAAAAACAACAAACTCACCAGTCCCCCATGTTGCTTTTTCCCCAGAGGAATAGAACTCTGAGGTCACTGCTCTGTGATTTTTCTCTTATGTCTTCCTAAAATTTAATAATGACATTAAAGGATGGATGAAAGCTGTGGTAAAGATCTGAAGAAATGGGTTTGTTTATCATCAGAGCAGAAGCCATGGCAGGGCCATTGATTGGCTAACAGGTATTTTCACATAATTTGCAGGTGATGGTATTTCTGTTCCCTTTGCAGTAAGATATGCCATCTGAGGTAACTAGGAGTCTSTCTCACCTCCTCTAGTCTTGTCAGCTTGGTCTCTTTAATGATGCTGTAACCTCCTTTTTAAATAAATTCTTTTGATTTTCCTTGACTTTTTCTTTTTCTACTTTCYATTTTGTGAAGGCCTCACTTGTAATTTCTTGTGCAATATTCTGCTGTTAATGGGACCGTGTGAAAGGGGGTTTTTATTTGGCAGGTTTGGGGGCGGGTAACTATTAAAATGGATGATCAGCAGCACTGTACTTGCATACCTAGGGAAAAATATATTTCARATGCACCCCACACTGAATTTGGGCATGGAGGCAATATTTTCAATGCTAGATACATAAAGGAAAACTTMTTTTTCTTAAATTTCACAACTTTTCAGGAAACAACCACAGTTGCCTTATTGCAGTGAGTTTTTTCCAGGAACGAAGCCACGGGTAGTAAAAGATGCTGTCTTCCCTCCTGCATCACGAGTCACCCACAGGGATCAGGAATGGTATGATGCTGAAATTGCCAGAAAACTGCAAGAAGAAGAACTTTTGGTGAGCATATTTTAAGGCAAAAGTTCAGGTGAATCAGTAGTTTTTTTTTGTGAATTGAATAAACATTATTATTATATAATGGGCATTATAGTCTTCCATCAGTTAAGAAACTGAAATCTGTTTTTTTAAATCTTTTTGATATGTGGAAAAYAAAAATGGGAGTACAATATCTCCCCTTATCTGCAGTTCACTTTCTGTAATTTCAGTTACCCATATAGTTAAATGTAGTCAAAAATGTTAAATGGAAAATTTCAGAAAGAAACAATTCACAACTTTGGTATATTTTAATATACATAATATATTATTATTATAATAATTATACTCATGATTGTTAATTTCTTATTGTGCCTAAATTTAAATTAAATTTAATCATAGGTATGTATGAACAGGAAAAAAAACAATAACAACTATATATGGGGTTTGGTGCTATTTGCTGTTTCAAGCATCTACTGAGGGTTTTGGAACATAGCCCAAGTGGATAGGGGGAGGTGTTACATCCAGGTTCATTTACTAAGTACTGACAACAGATCTCCAAGTCCCTATCTCGGCATTATGAAGTTTCTAGCAATTCTCTTAAGAACCTGCTGGAGGATTTGATCAAAAGAATTGCTGCCTGACTAGTGAAAGCACACCAACTGCTGATCAGCTTCAGAGGTGTTAATCACAACTAGTTTCAAATACCAGTGTATTTTGTATAAGATTTTTTAAGTGGGCAACATGAATGTCTTAATTTTTTTTTTCCTGTTTCTTTTACATCAAAGGCTACCCAGGTGGACCTGCGAGCAGCTCAAGTAGCCCAGGATGAGGTATGCTTGTGTTAATGAATTTAACAATATTTTTTGGAAATATCCCGGTAATCTACCTGCAACTTTGTAGTTTATGATATTAACTGGATCTTGTTTAGGAAATTGCTCGACTTCTAATGGCAGAAGAAAAGAAAGCTTATAAGAAAGCCAAAGAGCGGGAGAAGTCATCTTTGGACAAAAGAAAGCATGACTCTGAGTGGAAGGTATGGTGTGGTTGTGTGTGGTTGTGTGTGTGTATGTGTGTGTGTTTTAATTTTTTTAATAGAAATAAGATAAGAAATGGGAAGGGAACTCTGCTTTTAGAATAAGCTCTGCAAATATATTTAGGATATTACATATGTGAATCTAATGTGTAAAAGTTGTTTCACTGTGACAGGTCATTGAGTTCTTGAAAATAATTATGTAAAAAGATAACTCCAAAGATTGAAAAAGCTTAGTCTATTCATTTTAAGACCTAAGATGCATGTGTTTCTGGTTACGAATGATCTTTGTTTGCATATACTTACAGTATAGGAGAATAGAGCATTTTCACATGCTTTCAGAATTTTCATGGTAATCTGCTCTGTCTACTTTCCTTTTATACTTGTGTTATTCTTTATCCTTACCATGTACTTGTTTCTCTTTTCATTGACACAACTTCTATGGAAGACTGACAGATACATACCTATCACTAGCAAATTATTGCATATGTCACAGTGGAAGAACTCTTTAGCACTAGCTTGGACTGTTTTTTTTTCCCTTCATTAATTGGAAATAGTTGACAAAACAAGCAGTGACTGCAGTTCTTTCTGCTATAATCTGATTATTGTATGTGGTGGTTACAAGTTCAGTTTTACAGACTTTACTCATCAGTGACTGTTTGCAAAGCACCACACTGGACCCACATGGGGATAAAGAAGATCTTTCCTAAATGATCTTATGTAATGCAAAAAGGAAAACAAAGATAGATAGCTAACAAATACATAACCCAGTAGGATGGAATAAAAGCAGAGGAGCAGTACAAGAATACACACTATAAAGACTTTTTAGGGAGAGAGTTTGCACCAGTCCTGGAAGCATGCAACTTAGGATGTGTGTTCATGATACAGTTGATCTTTAGCACTGTTCTCTTTCAAACAGAGTCTCTCTTGGGCTTTGGTTTCGCCTCACATTTTTGGTAATGATTGTGAGGCAGAAGAAGACATAGAAACCAAGACTGATAATATTGCTCTATCATTTTCTCTTCCTYGATTATCCATGAGTCAGACTTAAATCAAATGAAAGGATTATTTCCATACTAATTATGTATAGTTAACTCCCGCCTTATCCTTTTAGTAATTCAAACATTTTTTTTAACATTTTATTTTTAATCAAGAATACCCAAATGCTTCTGCTATATAATATAAGCCACAGTTATTCAAATTCTTTGTTAACTAGAAAAGGGTAGGTGTATTATAAATTATAAACTGGGAAAGTCAGAGGGTAATGGCCATATGTCTAGCAAGTACCATGACTTCTGTGATTTCTAGATTTATATCTGGTGCTGTAATAGTTCTTCTTTTGGGCAACTTAACTTGCATGTGCTTTATTTGCCTGGCTAGAAAATCATCAGCCAGGTATATAGAAGGAAGTTTGAGAGCCCAAACGTAGATTCTGTTGACTCTGGGTATCTTTAGTTCATATCAATAGTTATTCAGCTGTTAAATTAACAATCTATAGCCAAGCATGCCTGTGTGGGTGACCTTGTTTGTTTATTTGCATATTGCCCACTCATATAGCTCCATTAACCATCTTCGACCTGCCTTTGTGTGTGTATATGTGTATATATCTGTGAGCATAGACATACATACATATAAATACATATATATGTATTTTTATATATGTATATATATTATATATATATTACAATACATATATATGTATTTTTAAAACCTCAGAGTGACTGTATGTAAAATAAGTTTGTGTTGCTTAACTAAATGTAAGTAACCTGAAATTACTAAAGGAGAACTTAAATGTTTTTTTAACCTCTTCCTTTGCTTGATCTTTTTTTGTGTATGTGTATATGTACATTTTGTTTGTTTCTTTTTCTGTTCATAGTCAAAACCAGCTAAATCAACACACCCAAAGTCAAAGGAGCATGATGAAGCTCACCACCGGTCTAAAAATGACAGGCCTGCACGGTAAGATGATACCTGAAAAGGGGAGAGAGGAAATTGAATTTTGAGTAAGGAGATGTCAGTTGCCTGAAAAGACTATTCTTTGGAGAAGATATCGAAAACTGCAGGTTTGAGGTGCTGTCAAATCTTTTAGGGTTCTTCTCAAACTTTTAAAATTTCTAGTCTTAAATTGGGTTGCATAAGTCAAATAAGTGATATTTTACAGAAACTGGGGTGTATAGGGAAAGGTGTGCTTTTTTGAAGGACCAATTCCATCTGTGTCTTCACTGAATTTATACCTTCAGCTATGGAGAGATGAGATTAACCATTTTCCTAAATAAAATCTCAGGTGTTAAATTTTTATTGGATTTCTTCATCCACACTAGTGTATRCATGACATTTAAAGATGCTGAAACTCATTCCTGCATTGAATCTCAATATCTTAGGTAAATACTTGAGTCATTGCAAACTCTAAATCCCACCAGAGCAAATAGCTTTGGCTGTGGCATATGTACTTCCTGACTGACTTCTCTCAAACAGTCTTGAGTCCTACTTATAGGAAAAATATAACTCTTTCCACCTTTAGTTATCAATATTTAAGTCTCTGAGGAAGTAACCTCTTATTTTCTCTATTGTTTTTTGTTGTCTGTCTTTGAAAGACAACATTTCAATTAGAATATGAAGGCAAAACATTAAATATGAAAAGATACTTGGGAAAGGAGCAGGGAGGGAGGAATGAGAAAAGGGTGATCAATGGAAACTAAGTTACAGGAGCAAGAAGTTCTGGTGGGCTATTATTGTACAGGAAGATGAATATAAATAACTGTAATGAACTGTACATTTTTAAAAGGTAGAAGAAAGTATATTAAAAGCTGTCACCATAAAATAATGATAAATGAGGAGACAGATATGTTTAATCTGATTTAAACATTTATACAATATATACATGTATAAATATGTCATCCTGTTAATATATACAAATTTTATGTTTTTTATTTACCAGTTAAAATATACTTAGAATGAAAAAAGACAAAAGTAACACTAAACCTAATATTTAATTCTGAATCATTACTACCTTGAAATTTGGTCCTGCTTATTAATATTTATTAAAATTATAAATGTAAGTTTTATTGTGTTGAAAAATATATACAGTTGTTGCCACTTATTACCAATACTTAAGTTGCTGGACTTGCTTTCTTCAAATGAATATATTTAGTGTCCTTAAAAATCCATCCTCTGTTTTTAAGCTCATGTGTTTTCCAAAGATAAATACCCTTAACAAAATAATATTGTGTTTGTATTGATCTGAGGATAATAGTAATATAGTCTGTTTAATTATATAGAATCTGTTGCTCTCATAATTTTTGGTTAAACACATGCCAAATATCTTTTAAACCACATTTTAGAATTATATAGTTTAGTACACTCCACAATATCTAGATAAAATAAAAGGCAGCTATGGGTAAATATGTCTGGATGATAATGATGCTGATGCTGATGATGACGATTTTAGTCAAATGAATTCAAATCAATTTTAGAGTGATTTCATAATAAGTCCTTAGCCTCTTTAGAACACTACTACCTTTATAGTTGATTTGATAGAATAGTCTTGGACAGCTATTTCAAAAGCTTCCTCCTGTTGAAATTAAGTTATTGGAATATAAATATAAATAGATATCCTAAAAATATTAGGCTTATTGAAAGAGTAATCAAATGACCCTATATTATAGAATGAATTTGACATAATTTTTCTGTTTACATATATGAAAGCATCACAGTGTATCCCACTATCATGTACATCCACAAGAATGGGGTCCTAGGGCTTGGGTTGTGGCTCAGTGGTGGAGCGCTTGCCTCACATGTGTCAGGAACTGGGTTTCATCCTTAGCATCACATTTAAAAAAATAAAGAAATAAACAAAATGAAGGTATTGTGTCCATCTACAACTAAAAAAAAAAAAAAAATTCAGAAAATACAAAATTAAAAAGAATGGGGTCCTAAATAGAAAGAGAATATTTCATACTTGTATAAATATATCAAAATGGATTCTACTGTCTTTATAACTAAAAAAAGAATAAATCAATAAATTTTTAAAAAGGGCTATTAGTGAAAAGTGACTTATGGCTGCTAGTAGAACTTAAATCTTTTTTGACCTAAGAGGAAACACTGCCTTCAAATATCATTTACTGAAAGATTATATATATGGCAAAACAAAAATGAACAAGAGTTTTGTGAAACATTTATTTTCATAGTTAAAAATGAAAGTTTATATACCTTAGATATGTGTGTGTATGTTTGTATATATATATATATATATATATGTGTGTGTGTGTGTGTGTGTGTGTGTGTGTGTGTGTGTTTTACACAACTATGTATATATGCTCTCTGGTTAGAGTCTAGTTTCCTGTTTTGGTCATGGTAGAAAAGTTTATTTAGCTATCTATATGGACAGCAATGATTTCAAGTTTTGAAAAACATGGAGCTTCCTAGGTCAAGATGTTTATTATTTCAGTGGGTTAGTAGTAGAAATAGAAGAGAGGAGAAACAAATTCTCACGTAGTACTTGTAATATTCATGGTTGAAATTCCAGTTTCTTTTGTTATTTAAGCTGTTTTTCTCTTTGTAAGGAAATAAGAAAACTAGTCAGTAGACTGGATTACTTCTAACTCTTTGTAATTGGAAAAAGTTATAACCCAAATTCCAAATTGTTTTACCTGTATAACTCTATACTGGAAATACTATTTGATATTTTGCTTGCAGGTTTACCTTAGAAAGTTCTAAAGATTTTATAAATCTCATTTAGTTCCTTATACATTCTTATGTATGTGAATTATATTTATCTCCACTTAATCATTTATTAAATATTTATTGAACACCTTAATAATTGTTCAGAACAGGGGTWAGCAGCAGTCCAAAAGAATGAATTGTTTCTTGCTGTTATGAAGTTTATTGTCTAAACAGTTATTTCAATAACTATTATTATTATGTTAAGCTCCATAGATAAAAAAGCRTAGTGTGTATAAGAGCATAAGGAGACACCTAACCTTGTTTGGGTGTCCAGGCAGGTTTCTTGAAGAAGTGACTTCTGAAGTGAATTCTGAGGACATTTATCTATATCGCTTAAAGATACAAATCATCCCCAGCGGTTCAGGAGGCTGAGGCAGAAGGATTGCAAGTTCCAAAGCCAGCCTCAGTAATGGTGCAGCGCTAAGCAACTCAGTGAGATTCTGCCTCTAAATAAAATACAAAAACTGGGTTGGGGATGTGGTTCAGTGGTTGAATGCCCCCGAATTCGATCTCTGGTRCCAAAACCAACAACAACAAAAAGATACAAATCATTTTATGAGCACTATAGGAAACAGGTAATCAAAATACAATGCAAACTACAAATTATTAATCAATGACATTATTTCTAACTTTACTTTTAAATACCCTTAACTTTGTAACAACCATTTTTGTTACAACAACAACAAAAAAAGTTGGTAAGATCCCTGCAAGTAATAAGCTAATAGTTCTTTTCTGTATAAACTGAAACTAAACAGAACCAAACACCAAGAGAACTGAGGGCATTTTAAAGTGATTTGTTGATCCTTACAAGGAGAGTCCAGAGTATCGTTGACATCCTTTGCTCTGTTTGCAGGTTTAAAATCCTTTTTCTTAATGAGTTATTGTCTAGCCAATAATTAGGGAGTTTTTTTGTGAGTCCCACTTGGCTTCTGTCTTTCTATAAATGCCAGGTAATATTAAAAGAAAAGCACCATTCCTTTCATTTGTAATATTTCTAAACAAATGGTTCAATGAGAAATGAAAAATGCCACATTTACTGTACTCAAATTGAGATATATATATATATATATATATATATAAAATGTAAGACATGAATGAAAATATAAAACATTCATATCTTATGAAAATACATTTTCACACATGCATATGTGTGTATAGATACGGATCTCTCTTGTTTGCAAACACAGCTGCTCTATTGGTAAAAGCAAACACCTATGTCCTTCTGTCGTAGTTCAGAGCATTGATTTAGAGTCCATTTGATCAGGTCTTGACTTTGCTATTKTTAACAGCTATGTGAACTTAGATCATTACCTCATCCAACCTAATCTAAATCTAAAATATGTGCAGGCTTCCCACTATGCAGACTTGTCCTGAAAGTTTGTTGAGATAATTGTATAGAACCTACAGCACAGTCCTAATTGTATATACAAGTTTACATCCATTTCTGACTTATTCCAGATGCTAAATACCCAGGGAGAACTTTAATGCTAAGGATAGGGTAAGGAATTTGAACACATTTATGTTTATTTTTATATTACAGAGCCCACTGTACTAAACTGACTACAACTTGACAAACTCAGGATACTTATGCCTTATAATTACACAAAATACAACCTTTCACCCTTAACTATATCAGGTTCCATGTTTTGACACAAAATTTGAGTATAATTTTGGGAAACAAAAAAATAATGAATGAAAGGTTTTGTTCACTATCTTCATCAATGCCAGTTTTTACAAAAAAATCTATATTAAGTAATTAAAATAATAAAAGTTTAGAGTGACAAAAATTATTTTTTAGTATTTTTGTTTTCTTTTACATAAGAATTTGCAAATGTATTACATTGAAAGTTGCAAATATACTAAGATCTGCTTTGCCACCTAGTGGATAAAGGAACTTTACTCATGAAATTTTAAGTTTTATTGAAGTTTCCTGCCTCCCTCCCTCCTTCCCTCCATCCCTTTTTAACCTGCCTGTCACCTTTCCCCTCTCCTTCCTTCCTTTTCTTTTTTGTTTGACTTTATTACTTTCTAATCATCCATTGTTTTTTCATTTTTTACTCTTTATTGGTAAAATCTACTGAGACAAWGTACACTTATTAATACCAGCAGTTATATCTCTTTTATCTTTGTTTTTCTAGCACAGTGCCCCACAAATATTAGGTGAGGTGTTGAGAAAATATTTGTTTTGACTGCATTGTGTGCATCAAAATAAAGTAGGGTCAAATAAGGCCATGCAACTATCCAGGAACTAAAGTGAGATTTCTAAAGCATTTTGGCTTTTCATTTCTACAGAAAAAGGTTTGCCATGTAACCCAATGAGAGGTAGAATTGTAGTAACCATTACTTTGATATGTCTTTAAATTTTGGCTTCCTTCAGACCACCACCACCTACAAACACAGAGGCCGAGGGTCTGGATTATACTCATTTTACAAACCAGCATAATTCTACACGCCATTTCTCAAAATCGGATTCCTCTCATAAAGGTAAGAAGAGTGTATATGGTCAGGTTTTGAATTTTTTTTTAATAAACCTTTTGTTAAATTGGAAAATCAAATGATATCTTCTGATTACTAGAGTGGAAAGTAAGTTCTTTCTGTAGTAGATCATTGTGTTGTTCTTTATTACAACACACACAAAAATGCAAAAAATAAAAAAAAAAAGCACCTTAAATTGAGTGCAAATGTTTCTGTGTTTCTTCATTTTCCTCCAGAGCTCATCCACTCAACAGATTCCTAAAGGGTTATCATGACCACATTAAGATTTGTTGGACTGCTTTCTATACATAGATAGAGCATTTGTAATCCCAGAATCTAAAATGTGAAACTTTTTTTGAGTGTTGATATGGTATTTAAAAAGTTTTGAATTTTTGGAGCATTTTAGATTTCATATTTTTAGATTAGATTTTCTTGGCTAATAAAGTCTATACAGGTATTCCAAAATCTGAAAACCTCTAAAATCTGAAACAGGTCTGGTCCCAAGCATTTTTGATAAGAGATGCTCAACTTGTATTGACTGTTATTTATCTTCTGCCCATGACTGTATTAATTAGGGTTTAAATAAGCATACATATGTACCATATAAAATTTTATGCAAAAAAAGGTGGAGTAAAGAAAATGCAGAAAAATAAGAGCATCTAAATTAAAATGGTTGTATTTAGTAATTGATTGTATATTTCAAGGATATGCATTCACTTACATGAATTTTTTGGTAGGTGTAATTTCAAATAATAAAAAGGTAGTTTGTTATATATTAACTTCCTCATCTGCAGAATAGAGGCAATCTAAATATTTGATTCAGAGTTGTCAAAGTTGTCATATAAAATAAAATACATGCAAGAAGTTTGTAGATTCAATGGACTTTTTAAACATTGAATCTTATCAATTGACAGAATTAATTTGTCCCTACAATTTTTTAAGATTTCTTAGATGATATTTTTTGTTATCCTTTTCCAAAGTTAATTGTAGTCTTCCCACATTTCTTTAAGTTACTGTTTCAACTGTCATTAAAGAAAAATATCTCTTTACAGATGACTTACTTTCTTGTTTTTTCTAAACTAATTAAATCAGAATGTCCTGGTAAACAGTGCTAGACATTTGCATTTTTAAAAGCTTCCTTTCCCCCATTCTGATATTCATCCAATTTTGAGAGTACGACAAAATACATTTAAAAGATATTGGATATTATAAATGTCTTTATTAAAACAACACCTTCATCACAGTTTCCATCAATTAAATACATTTAAAAGATATTGGATATTATAAATGTCTTTATCAAAACAACACCCTCATCACAGTTTCCATCAATTGGTGGCATTTTTATCATCCTTGATTTAACTGAAAGTTGTTCATATTTCTCTTTTTCAAATTATACATGCATCACTTGGGGGGGGTGCCTCATTGTCTTTGACATATATTTTGTGCATAATGTTAAAATAACACAATAACTCTCTGGATATGAATATTTTATAATCAAGAGCAAAGCAAAGAGGACCCTCTTGAAATAAAGATAAATTATCTTGCTTGGGCAAGGAGAAAAAATGAGTTTCAGAGATTTTTTTTCCCTTAATTTTGTTTCTTTTTCCCTCCCCAGGTTTCCATTACAAGCAGTAAAAAATTTAAAAACCTAGGAATCTGCCTTGAAAATGGACTCACTGTAGCAAATATTACTGGATAATACAGAATTCATCCCACATTTATTATTTTCTGCCTGTTTGCATTCCTGGGATTTTTTTCTCAAGTGTTTTTCTGACTATAAATGATTTCAATTCATTTCAAATATTTTGCTTATTTTCCATCACTTGGGCAGTATAAGAAAATGCAGCTTCTGAATATTAGCCACCTTTGTGCTGGATATACTTCCTGAGATATAGTATTTAAGGGAATTATAAGATGCCATTTTGTTTGGTATGTATGGAGTATTGGTTATCTAGGGATGAAGCTTTAGTTAGCAGTTAGAATTATATGGAGATAAATAATCAGTGAAAAATGACATTTGGATGCAATGCAAAATAAGAGTATAAGAAGCAGCTTTTTGGTGCATTAGTGTGTGATGTTTTTGAAGGACAGGGCCTTTGCTTTTTATTTTCTTTGGGAAAATAAAAAAGTCATAATTACGAAGTATTTAAAAGAGAGACATCTGGAGAATTTGAAAAATGTTATTCTGAATACATGGACCATAGAGGTTTTTTGTACCCTTTTAGGCCCTCTTGGGAAAACTGGCCTAGACACCATTTTTTAACACTGTGTGGATGTTTTCTTAGTAGCAAGGCTTTCTGAGGCCCCTGGGGAGTGGACCCTTTATTTACAAAAACTTAATTCTCTGAAACTTGGTTGTGCAGTCAGCTGAAAGTGAAAACCTTTATATCCCGTCCTTGGTCCTCGTTTTACATTCACTTGTAGAGCCAAGGGAAATTAAATTGGAAGTTGATTGCATAAGTGATGTCAATATCTCTGGCTGTAGATCAAAGGTTCTCTTTCTTCTTTAAAAGTCAGCAGTATTTGTTGGCAATGTCTCAGTAACGTTTTGTGCACCTGTCAATAATTAAATTAATTCAACATGATGTTGAATTTGATAGTGTTTTTTTAAATACAAGAGTTTGACTCTTCATATTTATAAAGGGGCATTAGTGGGCCTTGTATTACTTTGTAGAAGATCTTTAGGCCCCTCTTCAAGATATTCAGTGTCTTTGTCTAGTAACTGATTCATAAAATATGTTTATTTGCCCATAGTACTTAGTTAACATAAGTGGCAATCAATCTATATATTTATATACAATAATTTCCATTACTTGACTTGCTCTTCTTTTTTATTGTATGGAATCTGACATTTTTGCATTTCAATAGTGTTTCTTTAGGAATGAAATATATAGGTGACTAAAGAAAAAGTTGTTAATCACCCTGCTGGGAACTACCTTCTTTTTGCCTTATCTTTTCAGATGGTCTTTAAAGTTGGGCAGTATCAGGAAGCTATTTAGAGCAGATTCTCAGTATATTTGAATATCTCATTTTGAGAAAGATAATTACTTTCATAAAGTTTTTATATTATAGGARCTTGAGTATAATGTACCTGAAATTTAAGTTTTAGGCATATGGTAACCTGGAAAGAAGAAAAAAAAACCTTAAGGGATATAGTCATTTTAGAGAAATGGAGGAAAGGGAAGATAACAGGATTTTGAATATGGTGAAGTGAAGTGAATATAGAAAAATCTTCATGTAGAGAAGGGGAGAGAAAATGGAAGTCYAGCCTTAAGTCAAATTCCATAGTGATTTCAATATCCAGATTAGCCTTGTTGACTTAAAATAATGCTATATTTTTTCTTTTTCTGCCCTGTGGTTTTGCTTCGTGTTTAAAATATTTTAATGGTAACTTTAAAGAAAAACAGCAATTGTATTTTTATTTGATATCAACTTAGGCAAATGGGCAACATCATTTGCCATATTTTAATTTTATAAATGTTTATTTTTCTATCTCATACAATGATCAATTTCGCTTTAAAAATTCTTCATTTCTTCTGTTTCTCATGTATGTCATTCATTCATATTTATTATTGTAAAATGTTAACTGAACGTACTTTAGTCAAAAAAATGTTAGACCATTTAACACTTAACCAGAATGCTGTTTGTTTTAGCTATCTTAGTGAGCAAAGGTGATATAGGCCTTTTGACAGCCAATTCATCAGTATTGAAAATTTGTTACTTTGTTTTTTAGGTTTTTTAAAGATTAGTCTTTGAAATATTTTGTCTTTATTTTATTTTTTTGTAAAGCAAACAATTTTTAAGAGTTTCTGTAATTATTTACCAGTGAATAAGGAGATAGAAATCTAATTCTCCCAATTATATCCTCATTCTTTCTCATTCAAATAATGTAATGATTATCTTTGAGATTATAGAGGCAATTAACAACTGTCTGTTAATGAACTGCCAGACATTCCTCACTGTGTTCTCTTTTTACGTTGTCATTTTTATATAAATGTGTAAGCATTTTACACTTTTTTTTTATGTTCCCGCCACTGGAACACATGCAATTTAATTTTTAGGCCCCAATGTATTACGTTTTAATGTTGTGATATAAGTGAATACTTCGGATCTTGGGAAAACCTTTGTTTCTAGATTTCTGTTCTCTGGAAGCCAAATCCCATTAACCCCAATATTGCTGAATGAGTACAATATGTTATGGAGCCTTATCTTTCACTCTCATTCCCTACCTTTTTGTAAATTGTTACCTGGTAGAGGGGTTAGATAATGGTCACATTAAATGCTCTGACTTAAAAAAAAAAAAAAAATTGACTCCAGTGTCCAAGCCACTGTTAGACATAATTATTTTGTTGGGAGGCTAGATAGTTGTTTTACCTGCTGTAAAAGAACATTGAAATTTTTAGAAAGTGATTTTTACATACTGCTGTATTACTAATTCTTAAATAACTTCACAATACCTGGTGGCATACTAATTGAACTGCAACTCCCCACAGCTAAATATATATATTTTGATTATAGACAAACATCTAAATTAGAAAAGAAAGATATGTATAAGTGCTTCCAGGAGTAAAATCTTTTCAGAATGGTATGAATGGTATGAGCTCCTTGGGTCTAGTTCAACATATGCTAAAATTCATGACCTTGGGCCTTATATTCTGTTGAACCATTCTAGAAAATTCTGAACCCAACCCGTTTCCCTCTTGTTTGATGTGGCTGGAGAAAGAACTAGGTAATGCATTAATTAAAAATTATTGACAGCTCTCCATCCCTTTCTCTCAGAATGTGTTAGTATAAAAATAAGTATCTTTAAACTGATAATTATTTTTCTTTATCAAATATTTTCTAAATTTGTCTTGTGCCAAATCAGGAATACCTACTATTATATGGTGCATTCAGTTTACCACATGAGTGGTTAACATTTTAGGGCCTTGATTTTTGTTTAATTTGTTGCCTTTAATGTAATAGTTACTTTGGGAAATATCAAGAAGATTGATTACTCAGTGATGATTGTTTTGGAACATAATTATGATTATTGGTTAAGATTTAGAGCCTAATAAAGGAGTGAGACTCCTCTTATAAATAGCTAGAAGGACTGAGAACAGAATAAAGTGAAGTCAAAGGCTTTTTCCCTTTTGAGGGGGATAGCATTTGTGTAAGGAGTATTAACATTGAAAGAGTACACTGTTCATGTAGATTTCACTGTATATAGTGTGCCATATTCTGATAGCATAGGATTTTTAGAAGTATTCATAAAAAAACAAATCTTTCAGAAAAAAATGAAAAGATTTTTAAAGTACATACTACGTCCCTTACTTACTGCTCATAGTCAGAGAAGTGACTCTAAAACAGTCCCATTTTCTCTCATATCTGTTGGTGCCTGTGTGTCTTAAAGCCATACTTGCTTTTCTTACTGTTGATAGAGTACATTTTCCTTCGTCGCCCATGGTAGGTAATATGGGCAGAGAAGGAAACTATAGACTGTCCTATTAATGCTGCATGGCGTACAATGTCATCCAAATTCTTGGTGGAAGAATCTTTTTTTATCCATGATGATATGTAACACTATTAAAGGGATGAACCCAGAGGCTGTTGTTGCTCTTAGCATATAACAAGTGTCATCAGAAATGGCTAAAATTTATTCTAGAAAAGTTAAGAAGGTAGGAGTGAATTGGTAAAATTTTAATACTACAGAGTCRCTTTTCTGATGTATCCTGCACTTCATGTCAGCAATGTCTATGAGGAGCAGTATTGCCTTAAATTAGTTTGACTCTGACTGAGCTTTGTGTACTTCTATATGTGATTAATGGTCAACTGTTAATTGAGGTACAAAATTCATAGTTGATCTCTAAGCATCCTTGTCATTGAGACTTTGGACCTTCTTTCCCACTGTGCTGTGGCTGACGTGACACTGAATTCAGTCCACTAAAATAGCAGAGACATGACCAAAAACATAAAAGGAGGGAGAGAGATTCCTGACCAGATCCTTCAAACCTGATAATCACTTTCTGAATAATTGAGAGTTTACTGTCCTCCTATTTGGTGGTAACTGTGTAGAAGATATTTCCAAAAGTTCTGTTGTGCTATGAAGACATTCAGGTTGTTTGTAAGAATTTTATCATTACTTTTGTGTACTGAAATGCTTACCATAAACCCCCCCCC